CTAATGAAAAAACGATTCTAAGCGGAGTTCAGTTGATAATGATGCTTTTTCAACAATATACAAGTCATATTATAGTAAAATAATTAAATATGCATTATATATTTTCTTTAATAATATCTGTTTAATGTATCGAATTTTTCGTTTTTCCTACGTTTTTCCCGGGTTCCCCATGTTTTTCCTGGTTTTTCATATTAACTGAGGAAAACTCTTGAAAAAAAATAGCCTTCTTAAAGTACCTTCCTCGTCAAATTTCCTTTCAGAAAAAGTGCTATCATTATAAATTGGAGTAAAATCGTTGGTAGAAAAGTTGCCCACAAAAAAAAAAAAAACATTTCCACTCAGAATCTATAAGTACTTAAATGAGCTTTGGGAAGGGAATCCGTTATGAAACTGATAACTATAGGTATATGAATCTTCGTTCGCAAGTAAAAAACAATGTACGTATCAACGTATATTATTACGACTAGGTAATAAAAATAAAATATACTCGAACCTGGATTCATTTGGAGCTATTAATGCGTGAACTGTATTATTATAATTATGTTTGTTATGTCTCCATAATTTATATTTACCGTAAAGATTTTATTAACGTAATTTAAATAAATACAGTTCTAAATATTCTATTTTTAAAATGTCATCATTACGGGTTCGATTTATTTTTATTTCATTTCAAAAATGTAATGATGTAATAACGTAATAATTGGTCCATAAAAAAAAATCGGTATGCATGTACGTGAATAAAAATACAATCGGAAAATATCAGCTGCTGTCATAACGATTCTTAATGGTTTCATAATGTTAGATTAAATAATTTCGAACACTGACGATTTTTAATAATTATTTATTGTTTATAGATAAATTCGTAGTAGTAATAATAATTGATGGCGTTTTTTTTTTTTTTTAATCTACATAACTTCTAATAGTTTCACGTATTATAAAACGATACACTAATATTAATAATATATCCATTTGAGTTTACCGATGTCGTAACATCATGAGTCACATTTAATTATTAATGCCGTATTTACTAGTACGATAATTATATTTTACATCGAGTGGCTTATACAGTTGAGTCAATGTATAGCACATTGCTAATAAATCTGTAACAATTATTATAGTTCAGTAACGTACATTTAATTTCACAACCGTGCGAAATCGGTAGAATAACACGATAAAATAGGTATTTATCAGAGGTTCTATGCGAATAAAGCCCGAATATATAATTTATTCTCAACAAAGTTTTATTGCTATAAAATCGGTTAAAAACACGCACAATCGAAATTGTTTGTCTTGCAATTAAAATGTAATATCAATACAATTTTCAATTTCAACTTATCAACAAATTTTTAACCGAACTTTCCTGTGAATCGTGTAAAATAATCAATCGTGGCATTCAGTACACTACAATGTATATTGACTAAATATTGTCCTCGGTTTATAAGGTTTATCATCTTTTCCGACGGCTCTATGTTGCAACGTCTACAACAGTAGCTTATAGTGTGAACTGCGAAGTAAACATCCGTGTCTTTATAAGCATGACCAAAATGTTTGGTATGTTTTAGATTCGAGGAGTATATTAGTAATTTTTTTAAATTCTGAGAAGACCTTGGAATGCAATGGTTTTTCAATTTTTTTTTTCTATCTGTGTACAATTTTTTTACCAGAATGCTTGCTCCAATGAAAATACGATCCAAGAGTTTATCTGTAGCATTTTAGATTTAGTAGTTGTATTGAGAAAGTCATTTTTTTTCTGCCGTTTTCTTAATAATTGAGGAAAACCTAAAAAATATGTAGGAAAAACGAGAAAGTTTACAAAATTCACTGTGTTATTATTTTCAATTTTGTTTTGTTGTAGTTTGGTTAAAAATAATTGTAGAGACCTGACAGTTTTTTTTTAAATAGTACTTATAACAGCCTTTTTTAGACGTAGTAAACATTCTGGTGATATTTTAGCTATTATTATAGGCATACGTCAATTTTGATTTTTTTAATTTTAATTTTGTTGTATGTGGATATAATTTTTTAGCGACATTGTTCAACAAGAAAAAAAAACCAAGCCTACGATATTCGTTTTTTTTCACAAGCGTTTTGGTTTGTTAAAATTACGGCTTTTCAAAACACATTAAACCGAACTTCGCTCAGAATCGCAATTCGTTAACAATGATTTATCGTTACGTTTATTTATAAATCAACTAATTGCATATATATTATAAATTCTCAACCATCCCACCAACAACTGCAGCCATCACACCCATCAGCAGTATCAGCTGTCTATTTTTCTTTCCAATTTATTTGTGGGTTATTTGTTTTGGTTTCGAGCCACTCGAGGAAAACCCGCGCAAACGTTACAGAAGGGTCAACGCGGGATCTTAACCAAAACGATACTCATTATACCTATTAACGACACCCTTTTAAATCCCCATTAGTGCCCACTGCTGCAGAGGGGGATTTTGCGTACGTTATAAGGGTGAACTACTTACTATCGATACCGAGTAGGTTTTATTTTAATGTGACGATGGCGGTCAGTTTAATACTGCACATATACCAGTAGCATATCTGGAGTTTAATCAAGAAGAGGGTGGTTTAAAAACTGTAATACATCACAAAATACCGAGAGGGGTTTCCTCGTCCTCCCAAAAGAGCAACAGTTATCGTTTTTTTTTTTATAATTCCTCTTCTCGAAAATTAAAAAAAATGGTTTATAGGTATGTACTATAATCAATGATATACAAAAACAAAAGATGGATACATAATATATATGTTACGATCAAAGGCCGAAATCGGGAAAATTTCAGAAATGTGAAAAATTGAAATTTATGAACGTTACAGATTTGCCCGAATGACGTTGGTCACTATACCATGTAGATTTGTCCGGAAAATAAAAGCCAAAATATGACGTTTTGCCTAAGTATCGTGGACATTTCGCGTTTTGCCCGGGCATTTCTGAAATGTGCACAATTCCGGCGTTTATCCGTAACGGCCGTAACATAATATACATTATATATATATTCATATCGAACAATAATACACACACATATTTACAACAATTTTAAAACAATATTTATCTATTTTTGTCCGATATTTGAACATCCGCATAATTGATATCCCTATATTATAGACGAAAAATTGCCCTAGTTATATCGTTATCACTACTTTTTGGTAACATTGATAAATACCCAAGAAATAATAAACAACACGGTTATAGATACTGTATTATTTTATTACCTATAGCTTATAGCCGTGATTAAAAAATCACAGCCAGAAAATTCTAAGGAGGGGGCGATTCACCCATCGCCGCAATCTATTATTTAATTTAAGAAATAATAAAACGCGAATATTGTAATATTTGTGTAACATTCGGCCGTATAATTGCTATATAATGCGTATAGTTTTATCGTTAAAATATCATTTCGTTTTTACCGACCATTTAACCCCAAACGTTTATGAACAGTATACTCTATAATAATCGTACGTGCTTAGGTGTATGGACACCGACGAATTATGAATTTACGATAATTCGGTTTTAATATTTAAAAACGACGATTACGACATATTTTAATCAATGTGTGCACAAAAAATACATTCATTGTTTAACATAATAATATTATTATGTAATGAAAATTATCCAAATCTTTAATGCGTTAAATTTTGTATTTTATTAATCGTTTTATGGGTTCGCCGTTTCATTATTCGGTTTAATCTCGAACTCAAAACATCCAATGGTCTATTGGCAATAAGACGTATATATTATGATACAATGATACAACAAACGATAATAATTATTAATACTTTCTTTTTAATAATTCATACTATTTGCACCGTTAATAATATTATTATCGTGATTTCATGTATTATTTTGTATTCGTCTATACATTGCGTTGATAATTTATAAGAAGGACAACTTTTGTTGTGTTTTTCTTTTTTTAATATGCCTAACATCATAGTTTAAGGAATCGGACATATTTTACTCGACATTGAAAAATCAACGTAAACTATTGTTAACGAAATGAACTCTGAACAAAGTTCGGTTATGCGTATTTTGAATTGCCGTAATTTTTAAGACTTCCGTCAAAATTTGGTCTTACAATTGCTATAACATATTTTACTATGTTACGCTCAACTTTTTTTTTCTCACCATTATAAGTGCATTTTCAAGCATTGCTATTTGACTAAACAATTTGATCAACATCAACGGGTTCTCCTCTTTTTCTTACTCCTAAAATTCGGAATAATATTTCTGGTAGAAATGAAAATTAGAAAAAATGTAACGTTAGGAAATTGTTAATGCCATAAATTCGTCCGGTTTTATTTTACGTATTATTCTCGGTTTTTCCTATTTATTATGAAAACTCCTAAAAAAATCAAAACACGACGTACCTTACTCAACAAAAAAATCTAAAATAAAAAAAAATTGGTTTCTTCTCGGTTCTTAAACGAAGCGAGACTTCTGGTAGAAAACATGAGTCGTACAAATGTTAAATAATTAAATCGGTAACGTAATCGTATTGCGCCGTAAATATTTGTCCATTTTCTCCAAATACTTTACAGAATACGAAAGAATACCTTTACAAAAATTTAAAAAAAAAGTCGATTACTTACTCTACAGTACCTAGTACTTATTATAATGCGTGTTTGCATTATAACTCTATGCTAAAAACGGATGTTTTAGAATTTGTTTATATGGAAAAGAAAAGCGAATCCCGTTAGGTATACAATGAGAAAGGCGCCGCACCCACCAGAGAGACGGATCAAAGAGTATTGCCTGTGTCCGGAACAGCTCGCGCGCGTATAAACGTACACAAATATTATTAATATCGTATAATACCTACTATATTGACACAAAGCCCTCTGTTAGCACGTTCAAAATATCGTAACGCGGTATACTTCCGGGCGGCGGCGATAATAACGCGGTTATTAGCTTATGTTATTATATTATTATAGCGGTTATCGTCGATTTAGGTAGAGGGGAAAAAAAAAGAGGTGTTTTTTTTTTTCGCTTTATGTCGCGGACTCTGTGGATAACTCCTTGTCCGTTCGTCACAATAGATACTCGAGACGCGACGAAATTGGTTTGTATGTGTCGGAAACGAATTATTTCCGTACGGCGCGGAACCAATGGACCGAGACGCGCGGCGGCGCGACATCCGATCGCGCCGTGCGGAAGACGCGGAAAACGTCGGCGACGCGCGGCCGTAATGCGCGTGGAAAACGACCGACGGCCGGCGAGGAACGTGTCGCGCCGCGGCCCGGTGCCCCGCGGCGGAGAAAAACGTGAGCGGACCGCACAAGGAGACGCGCGTCCGTTTTTCCCCGGTGGAGTCCGGAGGTGTGCCGTGTCACGGGGTTGCCAGAGTGCGTCCCGAAATGATCCTTTTTCCTCGAGCATGTCCCGACGAAAAAGATCATTTTTTCAACGTAGCCCGAATGCGGCCCGGTCCGTTTAGAGTATTATGTTATTTAATTGGATACAGATAATTACTTTTCTATACAAATTCTAAAAAAAGACCATTATTTTAATGACAATATGATTTTTATATGATGCAGATGCAACGGGACGCAATAAAAAAGTTATATATATTTATAGTTAAGAATTTATTCTACAAAATGCATATACTGGGTATGACTGGGTTCAACTTGAGTAGATTTTTACTGCAGTCAATGAAAAAAAAAAACAAAAATACAAAGACGTTCGATTTTTTTTATGATTCACAATCGTTAAGGACTTAAATTTAAAACAAAACATTTTTTTTATTATTTTATCATGTGACAATCAAGCAATCAAGCATTTAATTTGTTTTCATTTAATACATTTCAATAGTCAAAAAAAAACGAATAAACTATCGGCATTTTTATTTTCAAAAGAACAGAAAAATCAAATTTATCTATTTTACTTAGCTATGACTCCAGTTCCAAAAATTGTATGAAACTTGAATTTTGTATTTACACTCGGAATCATCTACTAACGAGTTCCAAAAAAAAAATTGATTTTTCGAACATTTTTAATGGACTATTTTTGATACCTAAATTTCATTCTCAGACCACTGTGGATGGTCTGATGTGACGTGACCTATGGTTGCAGCCACAGTGGTAGGTGGGAAGTTGAGAAGGTAGGATATAGAGGAGAATTTATTGTATATCTAAACGCAACGATAAACCATTGCTAACCAAAATACGATTTTGTGCGAAGTTTGTTTGTACCTATTTTCCTGTTTCTCCTAGAATTTTTTCCAGTTTTTCAAATTTATTGGAAAAACTCTTGGAAAAATCAAATATTAGAAAAATTGCTATCATTATGAATTATTGGTAGAAAAGTTGTCTACAGAAAGAAACATTATTGTAAAACCATAAGCTTCTTCATTTCACTCAGAATCTAAAAGAATGGAGATAGTGTGCACCCCTACCTTATTCCTTTCCTAATTTTTGCGTTTTCTTGGTAAATGACACATCGCACTACTTCTATCTCTTGTCCATACAAACTTTTGATAATTCTATTACCAAAATAATTTAAAGAATTTTTATTATTTTCTTTAATCGATATTCCACACATGACTTGGTTTTACTATATTAACGTGACAATATTTACAGATATAGTTTTTGCATTTTTATGTAGATATTAAAATACCACAATAATAATAGAAATTCTTAATAGAATAATATTTTAAAACGATTCATACGTATTTATAGCCAGTGTAAAATATTTGTTTTTTAAAAAATTAAAGAATGCTATAAAAAAAAATGAGGAAAAAATAATCTTAAAAATGATTCGAACCCCTCTCAATCGCTCAATATACAGGTGTGTATTGAATAATGTGGAATTCGTCAAAAATGTACTTCAACTATCATAGTAATAAACACATGGCATAGCCACCGAGCGCCACATTGTCCTCTCGACCGTGAAACTCCAGCAACCTCCTAATCCCACGAAGTTAAATAGTTCCAGTCCAATGGAAATAATGTTAGAAGTCAGGACCTTAGACCGTACACTATGGATGGAGCCACGGCGTGTAAATCAATGCAAAAAAACCGTTGCCAATATCAGCAGCAAAATAGTTCGCTGTGACTACGTCCATAGTATATGATCTAAAGTCAGAACCCGGGTAGCTCGGTTTGGATTCTCGATCAGGCTGCCTGACTTTAAGCGTTGTTTTACGGACGAAAAACATGATCGCGTCTCACGGTTATTTATAGATCAAATGATTAAAACTAATGATGGGCACGACCAAATACTAATCAGTAGACTATTCGCTTATGGAATAAACTACTTATATCCGAATTATTCGACAGAAATATTTCGAAATAATACTACAAACAAAAGTATAGCTTGTTCACAGAAAAAAATATTCGAATGAAACATTTGATAGTTCATCTAAACATTATAAACTATTGAAAACTGTCGATAGTATAAATTAAAAACTATTCAGAAGTGCCCGTCATTGTTCACTAAATAAAATATGACCAAGTATAATATTAACATTATATGTGAAAAATATTATTTTTTCAAATGTATGAAAAAATACTTAGTGCCTCGTGTGGCGCGATCTACCATTACCATTAGTACGGTGGAGCTTTTTATATTTTACTTATCTATAGTAAAATGATGTGTTTGTCTGCAGTCTGTGTATTTTTGAACGATTCACAGTCGCATGCAAATGACTGAATATTTACGAAATAAGAATACGGGAGTCTGTACATGGAGAGACACGTTAAATTTAATTTTTTTTTTTTATTGATTTTGGTTTTTGGAAAAATTTCTAAGAATTGTGCTTTTAAATGGTAAAAAACTAAACAAATTAAATTAGCGTGGGCTCGCCGAGCAGAACAGCTTATTTTAATACATTAATACAAATTACACTAGGTTTTTTGCTTTAAAAAAAAAAAATCAGAAAATCAAAATTTTTTTTTATGATACAAAATATAGTTAAATTATTGAATTTTATATAGTGAGCACCTAATATAGCCTACAACATTAAGTCGGTCGACCTTGAAATTCGTATAACAAAAACAAATATGACGTCCATGTACTATAATAACACCATTCCCTATACGATAATCAAATGCCACTATAACCTTAACAAATATAATTTATCATAAGAACCGACCAATAGAATTGTACGTTAGAGTAAGTTGAGGTATTGCTCTAATTGGCTATTTCTGTTACAAACAATAATACGTAATAAAGCTAATAATAATAATTTCACTTTTTTTATTATTCGAATATCGACGTATTATTGCAATTTGTTTTATTTGTATAATATCTAACAATAGTGATAAATAGACGGACATATTTTGTACCGTAGATAGACCACTGTTGTAGTTGTTGGTGAGAAGTTTGGAAGGTATAGGATAATTTTATTTATGTAGGTACCGAAAGAAATTATGAATCGTTGCAATCAAAAACCGATTCCTAACAGAGCTCGGTAAACTGATAAAGTTATAATAGTATAGTATAGATAAATCGTGTTTTTTTTCTCCTGTAGCAAAGGTATAATAACCCAGAAATCAACAAAATAATACTTATTATCGTCTTTAATAACTGTTGTCAGTTTTTTTAAACTTTCAGTAAAACCGTTGAGAATCTTGAGAAATTGATCAAATAAAGGGTATCACTGAACGGAATATGCTCATCTTTGAAGGTACAACACGAACAAATTTGCACGTTTTTTCTTGCCGAAAAAATGTTTTTCGAGTGGGAAAAAACACATTTTATTAGTAAAACTTATAGCGCCTTTATTAATTGTTATACCTAATACCAGAGTCTAAAATAATCCCGTTAGAAATTTGCAAAAAAAAAGGTCAATAAATTCAAAAATGATGTACAAAAAATGTCTATTTATTGTATATTATTTTATACATTGTACACGTGCTTATGCTTATGCACTATTCTCGTCTAATATCAACAAGTTAAAATATTATGTTTGTTATTATTTTAACAACCTATCTGCGTGTTATAGTTTTTTCATAATTTTATCCCAATTAATTATAAATGATCTGTACATTTGTTAATAAATAATTATATACGCATATCATACTCGTTTTATGCTCGTTTTTTTCATATCAGAACAATAATTTATCGTACGCTTTCTCGATAAAACATTGCTGTGAAATATCAAAGAGTAATTTTTTTTTTTTCTCGACATTTATCACGTAGAACGATTGTGATATGCTAGGTATATCTATACGCTTTACTGTCAGTGTTAAGCCACTGACTTCGTACCGCCCGCCCTTTAAATAATATTATTCGTTAATAGTTTTGAGTGGATGATCCTTGTGTGACTAATTTCACTAGTTCGTAGATATATACTCATAATATGTCCGGACCACTTGATTTTTTTCATAACGTTGAAGGGTGGGTTTTAACGATAATTTATACTCACTTATTATTCAAACGTTTTTGAGTATCGAATTTCGAACACACATATTATACCGACAGTTTTTTTACATTTAATCACCGATTCATCATACATTTCAAAAAGTATTTATCGTAAATAAAATATTTGAATTATAATTAAACACGAACATGACAACATGTAGTAACATACCAGTATACACACATAGTTATAATATTATAAATAGTAAATTAATGTTAATTTCTCTGTTGGGGTCTCATTGTAGACATTACAACTACACGGATATTATATAAAACACACGAATATTACCAATAATAACGGATTTTTTTTTTTTTTTTTTTTTATTAGAATTTTATCGTTCATATAAATGTTTAATTTAAACCTTATTGTAGGTACCAACTGACTATTGCAGGCGTTATGAAAATAAATTCTTTAAAAAATGCCGATATAATTAAATTATTTTATCGTGGCATTTGGAATATTTTTCCATGTCTGCGTAGAATTATTTGTTGGTTGGACAATTATACAATCATTTTAATATAATACGAGTATTTTTTTATTGTTTCTTCAGCCCCACGCACAGTAATTTATCGTTTAAATAATCGTGGTTGCCAAGGAAGAAAGGCTCAAGTCAATTTTTGATATATTTTTATAATTTGTTCAAATATAATTTTTGTCTGTATATTTTCCGTTTAAATTACATAAGTGTATGTATTTGCACGCGTATAATTTGGGTAACTATTTGAAAAAATCGAATTTGCTTGTACTGACAATTTTACAAAATTGAATTAGCTAACCTCTCCCGATTCAATTAATTCGAATTTGACTGTATTACATTTTATTTTAAACAATATGCATTATACATATTGTTACTATTATTGTATATAACGTCTATGTTTTGTTCTTTTTTTTTTTATGATATTAGAAATTAATATCCCATCTAAACTAATCTAATCTAACCATACTATAGATATTAAGACTATACAATATACGACTTTTTTTATTTCTCCCACTTCTTCTACATTGGTACTATATTCCAATTGAGACATAAACCTTTAGTTACATATAACATTATTATACGTCGTTATTAATATTAT